TCTCAATTCGATCTTGACCCATCTATGCCCCGCAGGGGTCGCGGGAATTGCCCACTTCCGTGACGCCACTCGGGGGTTACTGTGCCAGGTTGTCACAGAAGTGCAAAAATGCCACGTCATTCCAACAACCCTGTTGAAAAAACTACCTCGATTGTCACACTTGCCCAAGGCGAATCCACCCATTGACTTGTTTGGCTACTCCCCAAATGGAATCTCCACACAAGAGGTTCCTTGCAACAGTTTGGGCGTCCCTCCTATCTGAAGTCCACTCCACATAAAACCACTCGAGCCAGCTGGAGCCCCTGCCATTCTCAAGCTTGCCCATCATCACGGAGAGCTTCGGCCCCAGCTTCGCGTCGCTCACCAAAGGCACCAAGACCTCCGCGAACTGCACGTAGCTCACCTCGGTCGCCCGATGTGTTGAACGCGAGCTCGCCGCAGCTCGGTTGCCTTTTTCCACCCCCAAGTCACGATCTCCAGGAAGAATGCACTGTACGCAAGGCCCTGTTTTCCCCTTCGGGTAGTGGAAACTATGTTAGACAGAGATATCCGCTGCTGCTGAAATAGGAACCTTTTCTGTTCGGATAAGTTCAAAGGGGAACAAAGGCAAACCAAACAGGAAAAGGGTGGCCCCTCTCAGGAAAAAAAACACCTTGGTTAAGATGTTCAGTCGATACCTGCGAAATGGTGGACTCAAACAAAAATACCTGCGAAATCTAAACCTGCAGCCTCCATTGATACGTTGCTTTTTGCTCGAAATATTTCTGCTCGTAACCTGTTCTAAAATAAATGTGCGATTCAACAAAAATCGCTCAAGCTGTCAGAAATCATGCGCCCGTCGGAACCCATTCCCTGTACCATGTTTTGGATTTTCACTCGTTTCCGCTTGTTTTGCACTTGTTGCACCGATTTGCGCTCGTTTTACACTTTTTGTGTGCTCGTTTCGTTGATGACTCTTCCCAAACTCGAACTTGATTTCGGCTCGAAGCTCGAAACCAATTGTGGAGGAAAAACCGCTACAACGTGTCAAATTTTGTGTATCGAACGGGGGGAGGCATATCTTGTTTAACTACGATGGAGGCTCCAGGAAGATTCAGCTTCCAACTGGAAGCAAGAGATCTGCGGCCGTTCGAAGACCTCCGAGCCGCGCCTCTCGAAAGAGCCGCGGCACCAGGTCCCGCAGGCCCGGCCCAGACTCGTCGCAGAGCCGGCGCAGGGCGCGGCCGTCCGCGCTGGGATCGGAGGGCTGAGAAAGGCCCGGTCCAGAAATATGCTGAGTCAAAACTCTTGGGCCATGTGCCTGGTGAGTAGAAATCGTTGCAACTGTTTGTTTTTCAGAAAATCTCTATGACGGGGGGGGTGCATCTGAGTTTGGCACCCTGCGTCAGACACGGAAACCATAGGGTCCAAATCCAAACAAGTCACCGCCGGGCCGACCGAAAGCTCGGAAGCTGGGAAGCTTGGAAGCTGGGCATGGGTCTGACCACCCTACGCCAGGAAGCTGGTTGCAAGTTGCGCCCACTCGTCACTGGCGATCTGCAAAAGGTACGGAGAATCATTCGGCCTACATGCAGCTCCGAAAGTAGACGTCAACCCCCAAAGCGCTAGTGAAAACAGTGCAGCTCTTGGCGAGGTGTTTCTTGGTCCGCTTTTTGTAAACTAGGAATGGCTCGGGGGAGGCAACATCCCTGGCATTACCGGGCCCCATCTCCCCCCTTGATCTGTTGCCACCGCAAGACAGGCATGAGCCCCATGCCGCGTTGCGGGGCTGGTTTCAAGCTGCTGGAGTTCTTGCGGCAGGCCAGCCGTGCATGAACACCGCTTGGCTTAGTCTAGGGTTGAACTTGGGAAAACTTGGGGGTGGCTTTGGGCTGCTTGTGTCAGGTTTTGCAGCTGGTTTCAGCAGTGTGTTCTGTTGCTGAAGGAGGCTGTTATTTGTATGGTTGATGGTTTAAACCGTCATGCCACTCTCCCAACCCACCCGCCAATCCAGCCAACCAACCAACCAACCCACCCACCCACCCGCCCCCCCAGCCACCCACCCAGCCTTTCTGGCATCTTCACAATGATCCCAACTTGCTTCTGCCATCCCTGGCTTCCCTAGTACCTGTTTCTGCGTCTTTCTCATGGAGAGAAAAACGTGTAGGTTGAGGCTTTCAGCTCTGAACGTGGCAATGGCAACTGCTTGAAACTTCTTCACATAGGGTTATATATGTATATATACATATTACAAAATATGTGTGTATTATATAATATCATATCTGTCAATGTAGAGCAGTGACAGATCTGCTCAGCCTGCTAGCGGGAGCTCAAGAGGCCAAAGTTGGACATGATTGACATTGCGGCAACCATGTTTGAGGCTTCCAACAGGAATGGTGGCCAACGTCAAGACGCTGTCAATCTCTGCCTTCTGGAACCCTACATGGTGATTGAGAAGCAACACCTCACAACTGACGTCGCATTGTGGTGAGTAACCTCCCTCCATTACTTTGGAGAGTGTGGGTCATGCTATCCTCTTCACTGCAGAACACGATCGTGAACATTGACCGGTGCTCATATCTTCTGGAAAACATGCAGATGCTTTGACCAAGCCGACATTGCAGTGGCAAGAAGCGCTCCTAGCAGTACCGTGCTCATGATGAGCACGGTAGTCATGTTCGAAAGGACTCATCAAACAAGCCCGCCTCCATAGCAGCAGCAGGGACTTGTGCGGGTGGCACAGAGTCGCCGGGCTGACCTGGCAAAGGGGTGCCAGGACGCAAACTCATCGATATGACATGTAACGGTGAGGCTAGGAACAAGTATCTATGGGTTTGTCAGTGTATTGCTAGCAAACTTCTGGAGCCCTTGCAAGCATGCCGGTCAGCATGAGGGCACATTCAAGCCCATGAGGATCTTGTGTTTGGACGATCCGATCACCGTCACCAACAGAACGGCTTTCCAGTTCAAGTCGACGAGATGTATCTTCCAAACGAGGCCTTTGGGGCAACCAGCCCTGGGGGCATTGTGACAAAATCACCATCTGAAACACGGCACCTGTAAAAACAAACACAAACACACAAACCTTCGTTCTGCGTGAGGTTGCAAACCAAATGTCTGCGTGTAGCAGCACCAAATCAGACTTGCGCTCGTAACATGCTGTATGATTTGTTTTATTGTAAAATACCTGTGTTTGGGTCTGCTTACTGGACAACATCTCCATCCGCCCTGCGGTCCCGCCAGCTCTGGGTGAGCTTTCAGCAAGCTGGGCAGCGCGCAACAGCCGCACTCCATGGGCCGAGCATTGGCGGTGAAAAGTTGGTCGGGGGAGCTGCGGAGCCTAACTCCTGAAACCAGTATCGCTGATGTTCAATCACAAAGGACACCTATGTGCCGGAGCTGTCCAAAAGAAAGAAACAAAACGTGGGATGAAATCCCACAGACAAACAAAAAGAGACTCCAGGAGGTTGCCCAAAACGACTTACTCAAGCAGCCGGGGGGGGGGGGAGAGGGGGTGAGAACAAGCCAAACTCGATCGCGCTCCTGGATATCAGAAGCTTCCAGCTATTGAAGCACATGCTGCGCTGAACCGATCACTTTCCAAGCTCTTCCCATGAGTGCCGAAAGAATAACAGCGATGTGTTGCAACCAGAAATTGTCAGGAACCTAAAATCAAACCAAGCCCCCAACCGTGGAATCCCCAAATCAATCTCAGGCACTGATGATCCCAGCTCATGTTTTGATGCCTTCGAAAGCTTGGAGCCAAACGGCAGAGCAGATGCTTCAAATGGCTCGGGTCTTTCTCGTTTCGCAAGGGTCCCGATGCAGGAAAGGCTCCCAGTTGAGAAGAGTTGCAAAGCGTAAGAGCGGACTGCCTTCGCATTGTTGTGGGTTTACACCAGCTTTTAAACTGGGAACTGGGTCAAGTTGTCGGCTTCACCTACGACATAGCCACAAGCACCTATCGTTCGTCTGCTTGGTCCCAACCTCATGCCGGGCGGCCTTTGCCGTCCCGTTCTTGTTTTTTTGAAGCAGACCTCATGTGGTCGCTCCGATCACCGTCCAATAATTCGGTAGAACAGCGTCAGCCTCTTGGGAATTGAGAAGTGACCCGCTTTGGGGACCCGCCCTCTGCCAACACAAAGCGACGCTGAAAACAGTACTAACGGAAGGACACCCCCCTCATCTGTCTGCACATGATGAGTTCGCTATGATTTGCCCAGATCTTGGGCAAACCTCCTGTTGGCCCCAGCCAAACCAACGCGTTGCGTACATTGCATCCATATCGCTGCCCTGAGTTCAACCGCCCGCCAGTGTTCAACACCATAATTTCCAGTTTCTGAAGGTGCCGTTACCAGTCATGACCAAGTTCCTTGCACAAAAACAATAATCACGTTGGGCAAGGGTGTGTGGCAAGGATTGCTTTGGCTTCCTTGCTCTTGGCCATTGCAAAAGCAAGCCCCTTGTCTTGTTAACTGACTCTAGCAGGCAGCCCGCCCAAGGTGCAAGTTGCAAAGGGGAAGGGGGTGAGCCAACTGTACTTGATCGCCTCCGGTCAACACCAAGAAACTGGTGGATAATCGATTGTCTTGAGCTCAGATGCCCAGTGGCCCGGGCAAAGACAGGGAACCCTTGTTTTCTGGGCTGAGTTTGTATAAAGGCACCACTGGGCAACAGAGTGATACAAATCCGCCAGGATCGCCTTAGACTCGGCACGACTCGGCGTCATAGTTTACAACCGAATCTGGCAGCGTGCGAGGGGCGAACCTCCCAATGGGCAACATGAGGCTGTCGGTCTGCAAATCCCTTTACCCCACTTGCAGTTAGAGTCCACCAGTGGTTAGAATCAGCTTCCCTCCAACTGGTGGCTTGACCTGGTGCTTTCGAGGTCACTTCTGATTTCCCATTCTCCACAAGAGAACCAGGCTCATCCAACTCCAAACCAATCCAAACCTCCAATTTCTTGGGTTCCCTGCTCGAACGTGGCACGTAACGCTCGTCCCTCAACTCGAGGCGCAGGCAGGAAGTGCAGCTTGGCGGCCGGAGCGCACTGCTTGAGCTGCTCCATAGCTGCATGAGCCTGGCCGGGCAAGGCCAAACACCGTTCTGTTTCGGCTTCCCTGTTTTTTTGATCTTCTGTGTTTTCTTATTTTATTATTATGTGTTGAATTTAATTTTATTTCGCTTTGCCCTTGGGCTTCTGGGGTTCTTTTCGGCTTCTCCTTGCATCGTCCTGATGTTGGAAGTCCCCCGTTTCGAGGTATCCGCACACGCTGCTGCACAAAGGGCGGGAGAGCTGGAACGATCGGCTGGATCCCTTCAGCACCAACACGAAGGGTCTCCTGCTCGTGAGAGGCGTCGAAAAAAAGAAGACAAATGACTAGTGAATGAGTGCCTCTGAATGAATGAGAGCCACCATTCACTTTCTTCTTCCATTTCACAGTTTTCTCATGCTCACCTCACGGTGTAACGGCTGATGATGTGGCAAGACGTGGCATGTTTCATTTCATCCCAGCCTTTCCAGAGCGGCTATTTGGCTGTGGGAAAAGCTGAGGAAAGAAGTGAATGCCCGTGTTGTCTTCTCCTTCATCGCCAGCCCCTCACGAGAAGGGACGGAGAGGGGGATATGGTGAGAAGGATGGGTATCCCTGCAAAAACATGGTGTTTTAGGTATGGGCCACTTCAAGCACGCTAATTTTGCTTGAAATGCCGCCAGAGAGGAATATCCCGCTTCCTGCCTTGTTCTGGAAAAACCCTGCCTAAAGGGCGCCGGAGAGGGCAAGCTGGGGTGAACATTTGTCAGGTGCCAACAAGTTGGCCTGGCTGGTTGGTTGGCTGGAGGGGAACTTTCATTGGCTGGTTTGCGGCAAAGGGCACTACGTGGGTTGTGGATTATATCAGCTGAAATGTTCCACAGTGCTGCTTGGGTCTGGCTGTCGGTCGGTCGGTCGGTCGGTTGGCATGGCCGGCTATTGATGGGCTGATTCTGGGACAGGCCGGCCCAATCAAGGTTCTGATCTCCATCAGCATCAGGTTCAACTCTTCGGCATCCCTTTGCGCCAACCCAAAAATCGGCACCTTCCAAAAAGAGGTGCCCTCAAACAAAGGGAGCCCCCAAAAAATTCCCGCACCGCCAAAAAAGCAATGGGGGAAGACTGAAGCACCCAATACAGAACCCCTCTCCACCCCCCCCCCCAGAAAAAAAAAAAAAGAAAAGAAAGAAGAAGCGCCTTGCGCTGGTCTCTGCAGGCGAGGATCACTGTGGCACCCGCCAAGGCGAAAGCCTCGCGTGCCGAATTCAAATATGAGAAGCGCTCGGAGTGAAGTTCCTTGGCAGCTTGCGAGCCATAGTTGGGTACGTCCGGTATATCATGTTTAGTGTACCCCCCCCCCCAAAAAAAAAGAAAAGGGCAGCTTTCCTTGGGCTTCCTTTTAAACTATCTAAACCCCAAAGGGAAACCAAAGGTAAGTTTCCAACCCAAAAAAACGGTAGCATCAAAGAAAAGACAAAGCCACATGCCTGAGCCACTGAGCCACTGAGCCCCTGGCTTTGCTCGCCTCATAGCCGATGCCGGAGTTGGCCCCTGAGAGACCCGCTCAGCCATCGTGGTCGACCGGGTGTTGCGGGCATGGGGTCCTGGGGTGTCTGAAATACGGCAAAGTGGGGAGATCCTCATGAACTCTTCGAGCGCTCAACGTTTATCTGGAAAAGGACCAGGCACCGTCCATCAGACCCAAAGGAAGGCACCGAAAACGGGACGCTGGTGCGGAAACACCGGTCTTGAAACAGAGTCACATGTGCCACATGTGCCACAAGGGCTCTGCAACGATCAAATCGACCATCCGACGTCGTTGAGGCAAAAGGCATGGCCTGGAAGCTAGGAAACAATGGACAAGGGTCAAAAACCTGGGAACCGTGAGAACCTTTCCTTTGTGTTGTTGGTGACAACACTCAAAGGGTCCATGACCTCATCAAGCACCACAGACCTCAATAGCCTCCACAGTCCGGGGAACAGCGATGCCTGTCTCAACATAGGCAACCAGGAGGGTTGGTTTCCTCTGGTGCGCTTGGGTGAGCTGGAACGAGGGCCCTTAAAAAAAAAAGCAAGCGGAAGGCGGTCAAAAGACTGTAAGGGGGACATCTCCAGTGCCCCTGAGCGCGCGCCTGTCACCAGGAAGACCTGGTCACAGTATGCCCCCCACAGAACGTGGAACCCGGCTCGGAAAATCCTTAGGAACTTCGGGCCCCGTGTCCATCCGCAGGAGAGAAACCCCGCACAGAAACCAATGTGAGCGGCGAGCTTTCTCCTCTTCAACAAGCGTGGTTTTCCTGCCGCAGCCTTCACACTTGCAAGCACAGAAAGAGCTAGGGCCTCAATCAAGAGCAGTGCGCAACAGGCAAAAAGGCTCGCACGCGCATCTACAGCACCCAAACACCTCCAGGAGAACCTGACATGTAAGACGAAAGTCTAGAGGGAAATACTGTGGATGGACGAAATCCTGCACTACCTGGAATGATGATTCCTCTGTAAATACCAACAAACAATGGTTGCCCATGGTTTCTAAGTGGTGCAGGATTTCGTCCATCCATAGTATGGCATGTCACGGCATGTCCGCCACCTTTTCTCAGTTTATTGGCTTTTCTCGAGGCCTTTCGCCAGCCCGAAAGCCGAAAGAAGTGTGAACTGCGGTCAAAGTCGCGCCGAAAGCCCCGAGGAAAACCGAAGGAAAACAACGGAACAACAATCTAGATTGTTGTTTATGTCAATTGCTCTGTGTTGACTCGAGGTTGCTGGTCTTTTCACAACCTGTTGCAACATTGTGCAGCAAGATTGTCCATGTCCCGGACAATCCCAAGACAGTTCACTGCTAAATGAAGCCAAGCTGTTTGCACACAATAGCTCTGCAAATACACTCGGAAAGCGAAAAATCCTTTCCACGCAAGGTGCGATTATGAAAACGGAAACAGCACCAAAGATCCCATTTTGTCATGTGATGGCCATTCTATCCATCCCAATTCCTTCAAGAACTCGAAGGGCTTTGCATGGTCCATTGGACTCAATGAGCAAGCAGCCAGCACGAGCTGCTTGCCCGTGGGTGGCTGCTTTCTACATTGGGTCGCAAGCACCCTTGGTGGTAGAGAAGCGTCAGCTCCGTTCTTCGGCTTTCTCTGGCATGTGTGCTGCTTGACATGCATAGGCTAGATACATTTGCATGCATCTCATCCTTGCGCATGAGACTTTCCAGTGCTGGAGTTCATTTCGAAAGCTACAAGTGTCCCAAAGTGGAAAAAGGTAGTTTGCGCGAATTGCACCCATTTGTAAATCTCGAGTTTTGATCAGGGGATTCCCCGAAAAGAAGCACCCTTATCAATGCGAATTCTGGCGCAGAGGTGGGTTCATTGGGGTAGGAAAACCAAATGGAAACCCGAAGCCCTGTGTTTGGTGAGTTCCATTTGGAGAACCCTCAGTTGACCTGTGAGGCTTCAGGTGTTGCAACTCGCCGGCCTCCTTTCCGCAAATTTGTTGGCTACCAAGAGGTGTCGCAAAAAGAAAAGAAAAGCGGTGGTTATATATATATATATATCCACCACTTGCTTTCCAGGAGGTTACTTCAGCCAGAAACAGAGCCATACGAGCCATACGCCCTTTGCAAGGCATGTAGCTGCGCCTTGCCGTGCAGGTGGGGGACACGGTAGCGAGGGCCCTGCACCAGCCGGGTGTAGGCCTCAGAGCGACCAGGGAATCTCCTGTTTATGGGAGGCTCGTTGCTGGCGGTTCCATGTCAAAGTGAGGACTTGTAGGGTCCATTGCGGGGATGTCTCACTCGTATACGCAAGAGTTTGCACCGCTCAAGCTGCTGGACTCTACGTCCGATGTAAATGGATGTCCCACCGAGGAAGGAAAATACGCCAGACTTCTGCGAAACGTCGTCACTCCCAAACTTCTGAGGTTTGAGCGAGTCCACTCTGAAAGTGGAATCTGACGAATCCGGCAGGCCGCTTCTTCTTTTCCGGCGCTGAGCTGGCGTTCTGTACAGCTGCGATGCCCAGGCAGCGCTGGGCGGGCAAAAAGCAACAAGGTGTCCAGTTCACTGACTCTCGAATCTCAAAGTTCTCAAAAGTAATGAGTGCAGGGGGCGCTGGATATGTATGCTTCAGATCTAAGTGGGCTCCACTGCACTTCCAGCTTTGGAGGATCCAGACAAGCTGTCAGAAGGCCCTCAAAGGCCCTCGCTGGACGCCCTGTAATTTGCCCTAAAACGGCCCAAGGTTAGGCAACCGCTCCAGCCTTTTCCTGGATCCAAGAACCCCATCACGGCGCGGCACCGTCCGCACCCTCTGCACCCTCTGCACCCTCTGCCGCCTCGCTCGCAAGGCGTGCAAGACGCTGCACCACGGCAGGGTAGCCACCCACCAGGGCGCCGTCCTGACACAAAAGGGAGGCAAGGTCTCTGTAGACACATGGGTTTGTCTCTTTGTAGGGGACACACCCAAATTGAGGTGTTCCTTTTGGCCTCCTTTGAAACCAACCAGAAAGGGGTTCCCTCAAAAAAAGACACCCCCACATGCGTGTGTGTGTGTGAACTTTGATGGGAGCCCTCTGGCGGACAGCATTTACATGGGGATGTATGTCCAAAATACATTGAGGGGTTCCCTATTGAAACTCACAGCCATGTTGGATATCGAACGCCCCGTGGTCGAAACGGTCACGGACGCTTCGGCCCGCGTGAAGGGGCCTAGCTGCTGAGCTCGCTTCCATGTCTGACGGGGCTTACGTGATCTTCCCGTCTCCTTTTTGTTTCTCAAAACGACCCTTTTTGTCGAGAGTTTCTACATTTTCACGCTTACATTTATCTTTAACCAATCATCTTGGGTGTGTGTGTGTGTGGTGGGATGCCCAATGCTGGACCTTCTGGGAGGCGACATAACATGACGCTGCAAAAGGGCCCCAAGTCTTGACAACCCTCCATGTGAAAGAAAGACAAGAGAATAGCAAAACCGTGAGCGGGTTCCCAATCTTGACATACCGTCACCCCAAAATGACAGCCGAGCACGACGAGGAGTCCCCAACTGCATGGCATTCTCATCATGCCAATGTATCTTCTCTGCGAAATGAGGATGTGATGGTAAATCGACCATTTGTGAGAGTCCCGTGCGTTTAGAATCGCCGCGGAAAATGTGATCTTGTGCAGAAGCGGCCCTAAAGGGCTTCTACTAAGGGAAGCCTTGCAAATGGTTGCCGCCCAATTGCTTCTCCTCCAAACACATCTCTCCCAACTCACAGATCCGATTTGCCCCAAAAGCCGCCCCGCCCTGCACTTGTTGCACCAAGGGGCCGGCACTTTCAAGGATCGGGTCACACGCAGAACTTCCTGAGGGCTTGGCGCGGGAGCTGGTCCCGTACCCCCAGTCACCTCCAAACCGTTCTGCCCACTGGTCATTGGTTGGCCAAGCTCCAAGGTGTACCTGTCGGCTGCCGTAGCTTTTTCTCTGCGGGGCCCCTGCCAACACATCAACAACCATCAACAAGAAGCAGAAACTGAAAATACAACCTGAAGGCCAAAGGCCAAAACAATAACCAGCTTCTGGACAATTTGGGGAGTTCCCTTGCTGCCCCCCGCAAAACGCCAGAACCTGCCAGCCGACACCTGCCACACACACACCCCACCTTCGACCCCCCCTCCCACCTTCACCCACTCCACCACCCCCGCAACACCCGCCTGGAGGTCGCAAGACTCTACCGAAACCGACACGTAGCGCTCAGCCCACGTCTTTCCGTCCACCTCCGTGATGAAGAGGCAGTCCACCTGGCAGAGGTAAGCCTCCAAATGAGTACAAACAATTTTGATCCCAAAACCATGTAAAGAGTTGCCAAGGCGGCCGCACCCATTTATGGTTGGGAGTGTCCCTCACTAACCTTCAACTACCCGGGTTTTGATTGTGGCTCAAATGGTCGGCGGCGTTTCCTCGTTTCCCTAAGCCAAAGGCTCAAAAGAAGACAGCAAATGTTGCAGGTACACAACATGACACACCGCATTTGAGGAAGCCTTTTTAGGGGGTCCAAGTTAATTTGCAGGGTAGGTACCCCTGAAGTACATTTGGGCACCCTGGAAAATGTAACTTTCATGGAGCCAGGAAAATGAGGGGGGGCGGGGGGTATTTGAGGAACTGCCATCACAAGATCTTGCACAGTGTCCGCTCTTCGTTCCAGGGTGGGCAAACTAGTTTGCCCTTGTCTCCCAAATGCGCGCCCACTTTTCCCGCAGAACAAAACACGCCCGATCTTGATCAAGGTTTTCACAGATCCCAGCGTATTGGCAGTGTCTGTAGGGTCCGGCCACTTCCGTGTTTCAACATGTTTAAACTACTGTTGATAAGCAAACAACCTCCTGGTGGTTTCCTTTTGCAAAGGGGGCCAGGCTTCTGGTTGCTTCAATCAATTTCGCCCAGTCCTCCTCCCCGACCTCTGTCCAGCTCCTCTGCTTCCGCACCCTCACCAAGGGCCCACCCAGCTCCTGCACAGGTCGCAACGGCAGATGGGAATGGAACCCTTGGTCGAACCTATGGAGGAACCAGCACGCTTCGGCCTCAGGCCTGGTGCCTTTTGAGAGGATGACGGGTGAAAATCCCTGCGGCAGGGATTGCCCTCTGACTCCAAATGGCCAGCGTCAACAGCTCCAGCTTTGAATTTCAGCTGTTGGGCAATCTCCCAAACAGTCCAAGTGCCGCCGTTGGCGTCTCGTGTTGACCCCCCTGACAAAAAAAATAAACCATCCCCGCGTTTCTTGAGCAACACTTCGTTCGGAAGAAACGAGTTCTGGCATCAACCAGGGCTTCGGGAATGAACCGTTTGCGGCCCAGCATCGCCGACGCTTCAGTCCGGGGTAGCCCCAGCCTCCAAGCCCAGCTCGGCACGCTGCTCGACCCCAAGCCGGCCCTCCAGCGGGCCTTGACCGGAGACGTCCAAGGGAAATCTCCTTCAATTCCCCTGGAGGCTCCAGTGTTTCTATGTCTTTGACATTGGTTTCACCAGTACATGGGCCATGCACATTGCGCTTCGCAAAATATCCATTTTGGGTCTGGCAAGCCCCTGGAGCCATGCACGTTCCCAGTGAGATGCGAGCAGATCCCAAGCGGACTGCTGTGAGCCGTGGGTGACCGTCCCCCGCCCGCGCCTAAGAGGCGCTTGCTCCACAGCTCCGCGCCCTCGGCCGTCCGCAGCCGCTGCTTCACCTCCAGGTGGCCCTCTCCATTGCCTCGGAGGCGCAAAGCGACTTTTCCCGCTGCCTGACAGAGGGTTCCTTGGGGAACCCAATGCCATTCAGCTGCCACCCAAGGAACACGGGAGGCACAAAGAGTGGAAAAACCATGCAAGTGGATTGAGCCTTTGCGAACAAAGGCGGAGGGCCAGACAAAAAATGGAGGGCTCCCCTGTTGACTCAGAAATACTCAAATTTGGAGGGTATGAACCCTGTTTTGGGGTTGGGGGGCAATCCAGTCTTAGAGGGGGAAACCCCTCTTTTGGAATAGAGCAGTGCCAAAAAGCCGCCCGCGCCTCAGCAACAACAGCAACCAATAGAAGGAGCAAACCAAGCTTGGAGAAAAGTCACATTCGGAGGGGGTGTACAACTCGGAATGGTTCCTTCTCAGAGCAAAAAAAAAAAGCTTGTAATCCCAACACCCCCGTCAAGGATGGTGAGGTAGAGTTCCTCGACATCCATGGCCAAAAACTGCCTGAAGCAATCAGCATCAAAAGGGAAATCGGTCAGTTCGGCTTGGCTTTAGATGGTTTTCTGCCTGGTCTTGCTAGTTGGAGCTGATGTTCTGGGTGTGGATATGCGGCTTGATTTGGGTCATGTTGGAAACAAATAGCACAATTTGGCTTGGTTGGATTCGAGATTCTAACAGCACGAAGTCTGCCAATGCCTTGCGCCTGGTACGCTTGCGAACTCCTAACTTGACAAGTAGCTGCCTGGCTGTTCAGGTCATCCACTTTCAAAAGGGTAAGGCGCCATATCAACACGATGGCTCGGACGGGTTGAGATGTCCATCCTCCTGACTGTACCCACACTGCCATCCACTCGCGAACAAACCAGCGTCCAACGCACAGTGACAGAAGCCGTAGCCAAGACTCCAACAGCTAAGCAAGCACAAAGCATGATTTGGCGTATCATCCCCACCCACCCACCTCCCTCCGCCAAATGAAAAACATCAGCCCCCCCCCCCTGTGCCCAAGCATTATTCTGCCCAGCTGCGCAACTTTAGGCCCAAGTCATCTCCTCATGGAGTCAGGGAAGCGATTTCCCCAAAGGTCAAGTTGAAGCTCAAGCCCAGGACCCAAGGAAACTGGCCCCGTGTCATCGGGAGCAGAAGGCGTGACTCACCAGTCCAAGCTATGGGAAATCCAGGTTGGCAAGGATCACTTAGTTAGGTGTGTTTTGCGTGCCATTGCAGCACATACCCTTGATGACTACGTCCCAAAGTGTGACACCATGAATCCATGAATGCATCATATGCTAGCTGCTAGCTGCTTCCAACTGGCAGGTGAATCAGACACGCTTGATTCTCTGTCATTGGTTGACCGGACTTCAAAGCCATTATTATTCCTGGCAAGAAAACTGCTGCTGACTTGCTTCACGTGGCTTGTAGATATGGCGGCTGACCATGTCATCCGGTTGCAAGACTGGCCAGGAAACAAAAGCTAGGACAATTGGGGTCAATCAAATGAAGACTGCAAAGGCACAAGGAATATTCTCTACCCTAGCTAACAAGCACTAGGTTCAAAGTACAGAAGAGAGTCGGGATCTTTGGACCCGTGGGCTACACTTCGATTTGTCAAATCATGATAGATTCAATGCGCAGCTTCCGTTGGCTCCCTCCAACCATTTTCTAGGCAATCCCTTCCAAGGAATTCATCCTTTTGGCTACGCCTAAGTCTGGGAATCCCGACAGCTTGGGCCCTGAGTTTTGGGGCGCCGGATGTTTGGCCCTGATATTGGGATGGATAGGCCCCTCCTGCTGGGAAGTAGACGTCCTCTCGCTTGCCCTCCAGTGGCAGTGGACCCTCCGGCAGTGGAACGGGTAGGAAGTAGCGCCATTCCCACGCCGCGTAGCGTGACCTGCAGCCGCCCATGAGGAGATCTGAGGGGTAGGTATTGTTGAGTGTGGTTGGGCCACGGCTGGAAGCAAGGAACGCAGCGATGGCCATTGAAATAAAGAAGAGCTTGTGTTGAAACCTTGCGACCCGCATGATCGTGCGACGCATGGCAGGCGCTCCGTCACTCATGTCCTGCTAGGAAAAGCCAATGGCTGCAGGATCCAGCAGGCATGCTCCGATCAAGGCAAAAGTGGTGGACTGATGAGCTCCCAGTCTGCGGCCATTTGATACTATGATACGAGTCATGGAAGCTCACAGTGTGTTGGAGAGGCGACTTTGCCGCAGTTTCTTGGGCTGCATTGGAACCGTTCACTGCCGGGAAACAGCGGATTCTCGAGGCCGCCCGACTGGGCCTCGTTGTTTGGCACCAGGCTTGTCTCAAAGGGGCCAGGGGGCCTCCAAAGTGCATGTCGTTTTCCTTCCATTGTCCCAAGCACGTGAACACCCCGCAATAGCAGTGGCGCAAAGGAGAGCCATTTCAAATTCGAGCTGCCTCACTGAAGCACACATCGGCAAGCGCCATTCCTTATTCCATTCCCCATTGAAAATTCCAGGCACCCTTCCAGGGCCCTTGATTTTCCTAAGGTGAACCGCTGTCTCACCCCCCCACCCCCCCCCCCTCAACTGCCCTCGCGTCGTTGGGTTCGAAGCAAACCGGGCGACCGCGCCGAGACCGCCAAGGTTGCGCTCAGCGCCCAAGAGGTGCAACGCAAAGAGGACTGGCATCAGTCCGAGTCCTCTTCCCGGTCCCAGTTGTTCCGTGGTAGCAAAAAGGAACCCTTGTTGGAGGCCACTTTTAGTGGGGAAGCCGTCAGTTCTAAAGATGGATCCCCCCTTCTCTTCACCCATCGTTCCGTTCAGAAACTCGAAACCCACATTGGTGGTTTGCGGAACCATGTCTTGAAAAGAAGGTTTCATGGAACAAGGGAGAAGTATAGCTACATTCAGCGAGACCCCCCTCCAATTTGACCACCTATATCCGCCCCATGCTGACGCCGAGAGGGTCAAATCTGGGAGGCTGTTTGAAAGGGCTGGTCAGGAAAATTCGGACCCAGCGCCGTTGAATTCCCTGTTCAAAGAGGTCACAAACGGGCTGTCTCCATCTCGGTAAAGGTCTTCTCGACTTGATCCGTTCCTTGCAGAAAGTAGCTGAGGTGAAACAACCCCACACTTCGTCGTGCGCGTCTCTCGATCAAGCAACTCCAATTGAGAGCTTATCCGATTTCACGGCTTCAAACGACTTGCCCGTTCTGCCCAAAAATATGGGATTCCATGCACATGGTGAAGGGTTCCAAAATTCCGTGCAGACAAGCAACATGCTTCCCAGCGCAAACAACAAAAATCGCGAGACCGGCATTTTTCTGGCTCTTGGCCAAGCGAGCCGGGCGCGCCCAGAGGCCCTTAGACACTAGGAGCGATGGCAGTAGCAGATTCCCGAGCCTAGGAAGGAGAGACTCGCGCGAGAGGCGAGCCACATGCTGGGCACAGCCTTCAGATCAAAGGAACGTCCACTCCGGATCAGTAAGCCTGGTGGATTAGGAGGAGTGTACCAGTGCTGCCCGACAAAAAAGACGTCTTAAACGGGATACTCCTGGTTTTACCCTTTCTCGGGTCGCGCGCCACGGCCTCTCAGCTCTGGGACCCCGGCGAGGCTGCCAGAAAGAGCTGTGGCCTGGGTCTGAAGTCCCTACAGGGCTTGCGGAAACCAAACACCGGAAGCTCAAAAGCCTGGAGAAAGCGTGCTGGAAATCATCGACTTTGAGAAGCACACGATCCTGAGATTGGAATTGCATCCCTCAAAGTGGGGTGAGGTTGCCTTTTGAGGCTTGTGAAAGGAGAACATCCCCCCAAGAGGGGCACCAATATTCGTGTTTGAAAGGCCCCTTTGGATGCCTCCCTTTGGGAGGAACCAAAAAGCTCCCGTGAAAGCCCCCTCCATGTCCCACGGGATTCCTTTAAAGGGAACACGAAGGGAAATGGGGGGCCGATTTGGAGACAAACACAGACACTCTCAGCCCACCTGGCAAACGGAGCCCGTTGCGCGACTCGGCAGCGCTCGTTCGACGCCCAGGGGCGGCAAGAGAACGAGGCTTGCCATTGGGGGGGCTAGGAGTGAAAAGCTCCCTATATCTTTTATCCGACAGGGGCCTCTCCAAGCGGACAGTCGGCCAAACCCTCCTATCAACTCCATTGTTGGACAAAAGAGATTTCCCCCGCATGGGGCAAAGGAGGCGCAATTCAAATTACCCCCAGAAGGTTCAAACCCGCCCTTGAAATAAGGTAACAAGAACTGAGGGCCTCTCGGTTCGAAGCCAGCAAAAGCTCCCTAACAGCCTCCAACGGCCTGGCTTGCCCACTCCTGTCATTGACTCCGGCTGTACATGCCATAGGTTCAAGCATATGTCCAGCCACATCGAAAAGACGTGAAGGCAGAGCCCTGCTAGCCTTGTGCTAACCTCGTGCTAAGCTTTAAGCCCTGGCATATAGATGCGTGTCAAAGTCTGGGACATAAAACAATTCGCACGGGCCGCTAGGTTTTCGCATTCCCACATGACCAATACAACTGCCTTGTGAAAGCCAAGTCTGGCCCGTCATCCCGAAGCTTTTTCCACCCGCACGTGTCGACGTTCACTCATACCTGTGGTATGCCCCACGTGCATCAGAATCTCAGCCACGGGCAGGGTGGCGCCAACTGTTTAGCTGCTGTTGAAAGCACCTCCTTTTGGGCTTCCCTTTCAAAGGGGTATCTTTGGCTTTCCCTTTGAAGGGGAAAAGGGTATGCTTGTCTCAACCAACTTGGCTCACCCTGGCCAGGCTGCCCGAGGATTCCATGAGCACATCCTACGTCGTCAAACTCCATCAGCCTGCCAAGAAACCTGCGATGGCCTAGATTTGAGCCGTGGGCAGATCTCAAAAAGGACAACATAAGAAAACTGGAGGTCCTTCCATTGATTGCTGGGCGAATCGTATGCCTCCACTCCCAAATCAAACATGGACTGATGGAAAAATCGTGATGAGTCTAGAGTGGCCAATGCCGCTCTGGAAAGCTGATGAAGATTCCCCAGATAAATGAATTCCGGCAAAGTACAGCCCTCCTGGGTTTGGGCAATCCCTCACGGTGTGGCATACAATCAAACTACACCAAGGTCAAACAAGCCCAACCCAAGTTCCGGAGAAATATGCACGCGGTTGGCTTAGCGACCCTTTCTTTTGGCGCTGCCCAAACCCAGATTTCGTGAGGGTGTGGGGATGACATGCCTTGGGCTTGAATCGAGAGCTGGACTGAGACACGGTGAGTCTTTCTCAGCATTTCGGGCCTGTGCAGAGTGGCCCCGACCAAAAACACGCGCCAACTTCCTTTGCACCATTTGCCAGTTCCCCTCGAGATGGCCATGAACTTTGCGCTTCCCAAATGGTGCCCTAAGGAACATGGTGCCCCAAGAAGGTCGATGGTCAACGGCTTGGAGTTGGTAGAAAGGTCACAACCTGGGGAAATATGCAAGGGAGGCTCCCGGCCTCGAGCGAACTCACCAAGAGTGGTCGGTGATGGAGGGACCCTCCTCCTGCAGATGACATCCTTCCCACGAACCCAAACCAATCCAAACCAACAAATCATGAAACCCAAGAACCACCCTTTTTGGGCGTTGGGCTCCATTTTTAACTTGCACAGCAATTCAAACCTGGTCTCGAAACACATTTTGATCAGTCGCGACCATGTCCTGTGAAAGCCAAGCGAGGAAAAAACAAAATGAAATGAGTCATTGTTAAATCCAGTACAGAAGAGCCCCTGTCATGCCAGGTCTACCAAAAACAAAACAAAAATCCCCCTACCAAGCGTCATCCGCTCAGATTGTAGGCTCGGCTCACCCAAGGGGCCTCAAGCATTTGACCCCCTTTTGCGGAACACAAAGAGCCCCCTTGAAGAGAGCTTCTGCACTTCTGGGCCTCTTTGATGGTGGGTCCATTTTGAACTTTTTTGAACACCAGCCAAAAGTGCTCATATGGGTGTCATGACCAAGGACCTTTCCAAATGGCTGGTTTGGGTGACTCACCAAAGCTTACCTAACCTAGCCAACTCCCTTTCAGTGCTCATATGAGTGAGTGGTTCCGTGCCATCCTTCCAAATGTTTAGCTTCCTTTGGGTTTCCCTTCAAAACCAAGTGGAGTTCCAACACAAAAAGACTCCCCAGAAGGTGTCTTCAAAACCAGGCCTCGGGCAGCAATGGCACGCGGCCCAGCAAGGGGTCGAAGCGCCCAGCAGGGAGCTGGCAGCCTGCGGACCTTCCAGGGAAGTTGATGGGGCAATTCACTAAATTTGTTGGTAAAGGCATATGTCCTCTTTGCCTCCAGGGCGAAGAGTCTTCGGCTAGCAAAAAAATTATGCTGGAACGTCTGAATTGGCGGGTGAAACTGCAGGAAAGACACATCCGCATGCGCAGTCATGGTAGAAGTGATCCTGTGCAAGTACAGCCGATGTGCAGTGCCTTGTTGGTAAAACGGGGTGGGAATAGCAAAACTGAGGACATGTGCCAGCTGCGTCTCAACTGTAATTTAACTTTGAACATCCACCCTGTGTGTCAACATGGGAAGAAAGCATTCTGAGCAAATGACTAAAACTTACAAATGGAAAATAAGGAATCCCCAGGGAAATGATCCCATGTTCCCGCTCGGGAACAAGTGTCAAAACCTGTGCGGCAACCCATTTGCGCATAGGTATCCCAAAGCATATGCTGAAAATCCTAATGTCTTGCAATCGCACCCGTCAGTGTCATTTTGTGCTGCCATCAGTCATCTGACGCGTTGCGACTTTGCTGCGGTTGCTAGTAGTCCGATCAATCTGCAGACTTCCATCAAATCTTGGCCACTTGCCTCACAGCTGCAAAGTGACATCTTGAGGAGGTCTGTCTTGCCAACTACTGTAAAGGATTTCAAGCAATGCGCAGAATGTTCAGGCAACAATTGTATACGAACAGCCTGTTTACTTCCAATGGAAAGAAGGCCCCCCCGGTTCATGCCGGGCTCTCTGGGGCCCCGGCTCGTCCGACACCATTCCGGCACGCTCCGCGACGTCAGCAGCGGGCCCCATCCCGGCGGAAGCGACGCCCTGCAGCACCTGGCAAGAGCGCAAAACAAAATATCCGGCCATCTGGTCCTTTTGGGTTGCCCTTGAAACCCTCTGTGTTTCCTTTGGGTTTCCTTTGTGCTTCCTTTGTGTTTCCTCTGTGTTTCCTTTGGGCTTCTTTCGGTGTTCCTTTCGGCTTGCCCAGAAGCTACACCGGTGGCCCAAAGCACCAAACTCCCCGCCGCATCGCAGAGGCGGCGGCGCTTCGCCCAGCAGCCCAGCGCGTGGCGCAGCGACGCCGCCACGAAGCCCGGCGATGGCCTCGGGCGATGTCTGGAGACCGGGAAGCGCCTTTGGGGGGTTTTTGGATTTTGGGTGTTGGATTTTGTGGTCAGGTGGTTGCGAAAGGTTTGGAGTGGAGTCGGCTGGTTCATGTCAGGCGGCTGCGGAAGCAGCCAAAGGTGTTGGTTTGTTCTGGATGTCAGGTGGTCGTGCAAGGGTTTGGGAATGGTGCAGTGGTTTCGGGTCGGAATCCTGCTTCCATATCCCCTAGAAGGAAAAAACCCACATGTGCAAAATGCGAAGACCCCAAATGGACGGCCTTGAAGCGATCTGTGCCAAAGGAGTTGCAAAGCACAAAACTGAAGATACAAGGTGGGTGGACGATTCAGTTGCACCAGCATGTGTTCGCAGCGCGTGAATGTGGAAAGTCGAGGGCCCTCCATGATATCAAAGTGTCAGTTTCCCATCCAATCATGCTTACCTTGCCAACTGAATGGAGTTTCCATTGAAATGGTTTGTCTCCGCATAGGGGACCCTCAAAGAATGTGTTTTTGTTCGCTCCTTTGGCTCCCTGTTAAACAACCGCAGAAAGGGTATCAGTACCCTCAGTAAAGACATACCTGTATTCACGGAAAGTGTCTAGTCAAGCATGTGGGTTTGGGTGGCTTTTGAAAGACAACCAACAGGCAGGCATTCTGTCTCCCAAAAATGTCATAAATCACAAACATTTGGAAGACAATCTGCAAAAGGGGCAGGCAATCGAAAGGAACAAGGAACCAACAGAGAAAAAGACAGAAACATGTGCAGAAAAAGGAAAATGAACCAAGGTAGAAAGGAAGATCAAACTATTCTGATCATTCCGTCTATTCGTTGATTTGATATACATTGCATTTGCGTCTTGCTCAATTGATCTTTCATGTCCGAGTTGCTCTTCAATGTCGTATCTTAGGTTGCTGCTGTTTTGCTATAAACCCTCCATCCCTCACCCAACCCCAGAGCGTGCCCTCTTGCGAGCCCAGCCCGTCGGGCTGTACACGCGCCAGGCAAATCTGAAGCTCCTGACAGGTCCGGCCGGGGTCCTTAGGGTTGGGCCTTCAAAAATGTTTAATGGTGTGACCTGTCTTGAGGGTGCCCTCTTCACCCTATTAAATGGAAACCAAGAGGAACACTATCATTTTGAAACGGGGAGGACCCCGGCAAAAACTTCATCCTTTTGGTTTCGAACCCAAGGGTTGGTCTCAACACATGCCCATTCCGTCTTTTCATGTTTGGGTGGTTGAAATATCACACGGGCCCACTTCAACATGGGCAGACAGGATTCTTGAGGTACCGTGATTATGTCCAGAAAGAGAGCTAGTTCTCTGGAAGAATGGTCTGCACTTCCGCGCGTATTTGTTTGTGGAGGCATGATCTCCGTGAGGTTCAGCCAAAACAGCTGCCTGCCCGAAGTGGGCGCAAACATTTGAAGTGCGATCCCCATGCTCCTGACTGTCAGCAACGGCTAACCGAACAGGGCTCTTAAAAGGTCCCCCGTCCACCCCCTCACGTCGAAGGTGTCTGCAATAGTGACCCGAAGTGTCCATCATAGGGGTGTCTATCATAGGAAACCAAACACCTAAATCCTTCAAAACAAACAACCTTTTGAGAACAATGGAAACTGAAAAGCTCCTCCACGCCATCCCTCCATCCCATACCCCCACCCCCCCTCCCACACCGGTCCCGGCCTCTGCCTCGCCCCGCGCCACCTCCGCCTCCGCCCGGTGCTGCGACGCCTCCTCCCGGCGCCGCAGGCCCCGCCGCGCCTCAGCGCATGCCCGCTCCACGCGGTTTGGGCCTTGGGTTTTGTGACTTGGCCATGAACATCCCAATCCCCACTAAAATAGGTTCTAAAATGGGTGGTGCACCTACCCCAAAATGGTACCATTGGTTTTGACCCACGGCCATTTCGGGAAAAGTCCACCGGAAATTTGAAGAAAAGCTAACCAAACACCAACCAGAAACAGAGAAGTTGGCGATCCTGTGGCTGGCTTGTTGGACTTTCCTCTATGGATATTGATATGACTCCAACCAAATTTATCCACCTGCGTCACAAATAAACAGGTTTCCCTTGGTTGCACTGTGAACCGACCCAAACATGGGGGTCGTCTTTGTACATAGATACTGTACCGTGTTGCATTTCAGAGTCCTAGCGTCGTTTAGAAGCACATGCACGCTTTCTTTTCTTGGGGTTTGGGTGGGAAATGGATAGTGCAAGCAGATTCGCGCTTGACATACCACTCTTTCAAGCAAGATAGAGAGAACATGTGGCAAACACTCAGACCCACTTGTGCTCTGCTCCCAACTCCGCTGTGTCCCCGTTTTGCAAGTTCAAGGGTCATCTTATGTTTTTGCTGACTGTCGGCGGATCTTTCTTCATGTTAAACCCCAGGCTCTGGCCCTCCCAAAAGGATGCTAGCCTTGCAGAAACTTGCGCAATCTTTTGATTGTTACCTGTGGGGGAGGGGGAATTATCCCCGTGTTGTTCAGGCGACACACGCTGCTGCCCAGAATTGGGAATGTTGCGGATGCCATTGAGTGGTGCATCCCCATATCCCGAACCCCCAATTTGACTCCATTCAATATCACTCCGAAAAAAGAACTCGTTTCAAGTGGCAACCCAAAAACTGACGTCTTCTAGCTTGGTAGCTTTCCTGCAAAGAGGTTGGACTTGTTGCTTGTTCATGAAGAGGAAGAGTCGGAGGGGAACATTTAGGGGTTGGTTCTCCGTGCTTTTCAACCATCGTTCTTTTCCAAAACCAGCCCTGGTCGCTGAGATTTAGAAACAAGGATTCTTGGAACGAATGGGGAACTGGAAGCTTCCCACAGAGACATTGGGCTGCCGAATGAACCAGTGAAGATGCCCCCGCCTCCGCCACAGCTGACTCCAGGTTGCGGTGCAGCCGCGCCTACCCGAGGCGAAGCGCAGATGGCTTGCTGTTGATCTCTCACTTGCCAAGCCTTCAAAAGGAGGCCTTTCAGGTCCAGTTGGCCAAAACCAAGTCTTCCCTCCACCTCCCAAACCCTTCCCACCCCACCCCCCCTCGCCCCAAGCCTGCGCGTACACCTCCGCAGCCACCTGCCGGCGCGCCGCTTCCGCCTCCGCCGCCTCAGCCGCCTCCGCCTCCGCGGCCTCCGCCCGCTCGAAGTGCTGCGCGTTGGGGAAGCTGCGGCACAGGGACCGCCCCGCCTGCCTGGGCGAAACGGAAAGCACCTGACTGACGTGATGTTGTTGGAGTTTGGGCCTAGAGCGGAAAGGAGGATCTCGCCATGAATGGCGTGGCTTTGTGGGGCCCTTGGAGTTTGGCCATTGGAGTTTGCGAGTTCTCAAGCGACTGACACAAGGGACATGCCGGCAGTTGGTGTACGCCAGCACCTGCAGACTTACGCGTGCTTCGTTGCTTGCTTGCAAGACGGAACTTCCAGATTCCACACAGAGCCCTTTCTCAGGCGTACCCAAACCTTGCGACCTCGCCTTGCTCATCCAGTCGCGGCGGCCTCCCTGCTGCGGAAATGGGCCCGCTTGCCGCGATCGTGACACCCAAGTGGATTTCGTCCAAACGACTTTGTCACAAGGAAATGGCATCGCAACAGGTGGGCTGCAACCCCTCCTCAAATCCCAACCACAGGGCCCCTGCGCGAACCAAGGATCTGCACCTCCCGGCACCACCTGTAGCTGCAGCCTGGCCGAAACGTGCATACCCCCCGCCTGCCCCGCAACCAAAGTGATAAGGCGCAAAGTAGGTATGGGTTCATCTTTTTGTTGATGGAACCCTGTTCTGAGGGTGGGCCTCTGAAGGAAGACCCAGGGGAAAACATATTTTTTAGGGTTCTCACGTTGGAGGCAAACCCATATCGCCGTGGCTCTTGGCGGGCTGATAATCTTACTGTTCTAGTCCGGCACACGACACCCCAAGGAATCCCCCCTTAAGTCAGCGTTCACGCTGGGGCACTTTCGGGAACCGCTCGATCATGTCGGAATTTAGCTGAAAGAAACAAACACGATCCACACCTAGGAGCACCGATTTTAGTCTGGTGAGGTGCCTCTCGAGTCAATGGTCCAGTCATCTGAGGCCGGAATACATTGAATACACCATGCGAAGTCTGTTCAAACAGATGGAAGATGCCCCAAAACCGAAAGGGATGGCGAAGGCCGGCCCGCATGAGGGTTGGGTTGAGACCATCCCCGATTTTTACCCGTACTAGCGGGCGTGTAGCTGAAGACGCCCACCCGCTCGTGTTCACCACCTTCCTGTGGATCTTCCAAGGTGTGAGTCGGGACCCATAAGGGGAACTATCCGAGCCGGGAAAAGTCCATTTGCGCTGCCAAAGCGGAAGGGCTGGTGGTTCCTTGATTGACCGCAGCCTGCCACATCGCAAATGTCCCCCCCCCCCCCGCACAACAAATACTAAAACACTGCCCATGTGAGATGGCGCAGGAACATCCTCATCTCGGCAAGCTTGTGCATTACAATGCAGCTTGTGGGCACAAGCAGGCAGCAAGCAAGCAAGCAAGCAAGCAAGCAAGCAAGCAAGCAAGCAAGCAAGCAAGCAAGCAAGCCAGCCAGCCAGCAAGCAAGCAAGCAAGCAAGCAAGCAAGCCAGCAAGCAATATGATCCACCGGCACACGTCCATATTGAGGTTGTGGGCAGTCGGAGTGCAAGTTGCACCAGTCCACAGCTCCTGAAAGTCTGTGTATCCCTTACAAAGGTCAGGTAGTCCCCAAAAAAATATCTAGAAGCAATTGGCCCCAAGTCTGGCACACTTTTCTTGCTCTCGGTCGCCTGCAGACCTTTCCCAGCCCTCCCCCCCGCAAAAAGAAGAAAAGAACATGTGTACGAGACGTGACACCTGGGCGACTCAAAGGAGAGGGAAACACAGTTTTGTCAACAACGGGGGAACCGGGACCTTAAAAGGAACGAACCCCTCCGTGACTGCGACCTCTCCCTTAACCTTGTGGGTAGCGCGAGCAACGCGCTCTTTTCAGCACTTGAGCCAAATGACATGCGGGCATGTCATCTGGGTCCTTGTCATGTTTGCACATCATGCAACTTGTTGTACCTCTGGGCCATAAATGTCATCGTGATAATTGACTCCCCCCTCATTGACGGCACTGAGGGAGTGTCTTGGGCGCATTACCACGCCAACTTGAAGTCAAGTTTACATCACAACGACTGACGCAAGTTATTCAAGCATCGCCCAGTCACTTGCACACTTTTGGAAATTTTGCAGACATGCTGCAGCGCACTAGGCAGCTGCTTTAGCGGACCTACTTTCACGAACGTCTTCAAGCTTCTCTGGAAGGTCAACACGAATGCCGAGCAACCGGATGGCATGGTCCCACTTGTTGGGTGGAAGTGCTTTCGTGAAGATGTCTGCTGACTGCATGTCGGTTTGGACGTATTCTATCGAGATGTGTTCGCTTTCAAGCTGCTCTGCGATGCACGCGAGGTTCACCTTGTGGGTGCGCTGGACACAGCGTAGCTTGGATGAGAAACCCTTCTTTGCTACGAGGATAGTCGCCTGGTTGTCCTCGTGGATCTTGAGATGGAATGGTCTGTCCAAGATCAGCTCCCATAAGCTGAGCGCAGGAAGCGCCTCCTGGTAAAGGGAGTACGCGAGAGATACGATCTCCGCCTCGGTTGTCGATCGGGAGACCGAGGTCTGCCTTTTAGACACCCACGCAAGGGGGAAATGCGTATGCGGACCACTCAAAGTCAAGAATCCTCCGGACGTTGATTTTGCGTCTCGTTCTCCAGCGAAATCGGCGTCCACATAGAGAGACAGATGCAACTCATCAGTCGAATCCTGAACTGTGCCAACTAGCGTGCTGTTGACCGTGCTGTTTATGTAGCAGACAAGCCTATGTAGCTGCTTATCGCAGTTTCTAGACCATTTCTGAACAAATGAGGCAAGGTCGCCAATGGGCTTGACCAGGTCTGGGCGTGCCAAACGGCCGAGCCATAAGGCTTTCATCAACACGCGGCAAGCGGCGAAGCCGAGCTCACCCTCCAAGGCGTCATCTGCAGGATCTAGGGATCCAGCGGGACAGAATGGAGTGGTGGCATCACGCAACTTTTCAGTTTTTAGCTGTGCAACCTCAAGATATAATGCAACCGTTTGACGGGCATAATCCCGCATGTCGAACGCCATGCCCCCTTTCAATCTGCCCATTGCGGCATTAAGATCGGGTTCAGTTGGGTCCTTTGGAGCATCTATCAAAAGGTGATTCCTGCCTAGCACCCGGTATATGTCTTCTGGGGGTTCTATATCAACCAGTCTTGTTAACTTTTCCCAGAAGTCTTTATGAAGGTGGCTGGGGCCGGCCAACGTCAAGTCGTCGACGTATGTCGAGAGAAGTAACCCGGACTCCTTGAACCAGAAGTTTCCAGGAAACTCTGCGACCTCACGCCCTCCAAGTTCACTAATGAAACCTTTGAGGTGTGCCTCCCAGAGTCCGCCAGCGTCAGGATGCCCATAAAGAGCTTTAACGAGCAAAACCACAGGTTTCACGAAACGCTCGCGCCACCACCTTGGCCGGAGCTCAGGCGGGAGTGTGATCCAAGTTTGGTACTTGGATTTCAGTAGTGCTTGCACATAAGCCTTTATAGCGTCCGCTGTTGTGGTGGAGTTCCCTGGCAGGGATCCATAAGCGAGACAGTTATTAAGACCTTGTACGCTCGTGGGATTTGCTCCCAACTCTTGGTAGACAGCTGCTGCGCCATGTTCGTCTTTCGCACAGTCTCCGCGGTACACAATCCTACCTTTCATCTTCTGAAGGTGTTTCGGGGGTTCGGCGAACTTGACGGATGCTCTGTGGCTTCAAGTCGAACGGCTTCAAGGGCTTCCGTGGAAGCCAACATTTCGGCACGTGACAAGAGTCTGGTCACCATTGCGGTGATCTCAGGATCCTTTTCCTCTTTGACTTGTCCTAGAAAATGTGCGATGAGATTTTCAACATCAAGAACTTGTTCAAGAATGTCGTGACACTTTTCATCGGACTCAACAGCAATACCTATGTCTTCCAAACCGGAGAGAGGGGATATGTGTTTTAGCTGCTGTTCACGTTCCCGGTGATCGAGAGGCAATGGCACTTGGACAGGCATCGCAGGCACCACGGGCTGAATTGTCGGATACAGCGCACGGGCAACTGTGAGACACATGCCTTCGGGGTAGAAAGCGGTCTTTGCGGTCTTGTTACCTGCTGCAAGCGAATGTTTATACCCTTTTTCGTGCGGACACTTGAATGCACCTAGCGCGGATGCGAGTGTGCTATTGCTGGTCATGACTTTCCATGGCTTCTTGATGGGATAACCATTGCTGTCCTTCAGACCTAGGGCGCAACCGTGGAAGGTCGCTGGGGTGAAGACTTGTGCGTATTCCCTAAAGAATGCAGAAACATCATCCCTAGCCCAGCTGTCGCAATCCCTTGGCCACTCAAACGAAACACTACCCCCCTGATGGAGGACAGTCTCTGCGTGACGTCTGAATCTGGAGAACAACTCTCTCGACTCTCTAACCTTTTGCTTCAGTTTCTTTTTGAACTGGCTTCCTAACTTGGCCTTATTAAGGCGTTGCCATGCTGAACCTGATGTGCAGGGGATTGCAGCCCAAAGATTGGGTTTATCACAACCTTCTATCTGCGACTGCAACTGGATTTCTCCTTCATCTGTGCTAAGGTCGATAAACTCTTTAGCCAGCCTAACATGAGGTATGCCAAGACCTTCAAACACGCGACCCATATTGGACTCTGGTGAACATGCCTATTCAAACATCACAGGCAACTTGTCAATGCGTGCCTGTCGCTTGCGGGCACGATGATTTCCTACCTCAAAATGCTTGGGCTGCGGAGCTTCAACCTCTGCACTGCATGGCATGCCAAAAATTGGCAATGTATCTGGACGACCGTTCTTTGACGCTTCGGTGAGAGGTGTCGGCGGCACGGAGTCTAACATCACGGCTGCACCCGTGGTGATCACGCAATCGGACTGAATGGGTTTTAACTTGAACACTGTGAACCCGGCCCATGCATCTCCAAGTGAGCGATTAGGTCGGCTACCAAACCAACCATCGTGGATGTTGTCTGCTTTGCCCCCCTGAAACACGGCACGAGTGGTGCGAGCTGCAGTAAATCTTTCTGGGGAAACGGGGCAATCCTCGACCTCTTTTGGGGTAAAAAGATTCTGCCTTGGCATGATATGGTATCGAACCAAACAGTTGGCATTTTCTTTGAGCACCCAAAAATCTTCATCTTGCGATGTAGCGGCTGTCGCTGGCGCGGTATCGAAAAATGAGGCTTGAGGGAGCGGGCTCCCCAGCTTCGGCTGCATCAAACTCATGCGCAACGTCTTCTGCACTAACTGCGATTTTAGGATCCTCCTCATGCTCGGATGCGTGGATTGCTCTGGCTAGCTCCTCATCCCCTTCGGTATGAACAATGGGAATGGGTTCCTTAGATTCAGTTTTGACAGCGCTTTTTGCAGCTGCTTCAGCTCGATCTGCAGAAACAAGCTCGGAGAACCTCTTCTTGCATTCGGCGCTGTGAACCTTGGAATGACCGGTGCATGCACGGCAACCTGGCGTTTCCTTGAACTTGATGATCCTCTCAACAGTTATGTACACGGATTTTGACTTGACAGCGGATGGAGTCGGTGGGGCCCCAAACGGCGCCTCTCGCAGGGGC